GAAGAGGGACAAAGGGGCTATGGGACCCTTGACATAGAGCCAATTCATGAAAATGACTTTTGCACTTGAGACTTGGAAGTGTGATTGAGAGTGCAATCATACCAAGGAAAATGTGATGTTGTATGTGCATGCATATGAGGACCCCGAAAAGACCAAGGGGCCTACTTCAATAAGGTGGGAAGCAAATTGTGAGATCCGATGGATGCGTAGAGGCGAGGGGGAGGACGACCCCGCCGCACCCCGATGACGCCATATAGCCAAAATGCTTAGGGAAATGATGTGTGGCCTAAGGAGGACGCTTAGCCTACGCACAAGAGAAGAGAAGGGCTCAAAGAACCCTTGGACTGCCTGCGTATTGGAAGGAGCAATTGCTTGAGAACACAATAAAAAAATCAAAAAAATCAGCGTTGCGGAACGACCAGCGAGACTACCACCCGGCGTGAGGGCTGAGCTACATCCCCAATGTCAAAGCTCTCTCGCGTGATGGCCCACCCCCATCCATCTCAAAGCACTAGGTGGGGGTGACCTTGGGACGAATGGCCCGCGCCCTGAGCATGAGTGTGGGCGGGCCGAGCCAACTGGGACCCGCAGTGGGGTCGACTAAGGCTCGAAAGTCTACCGGGGTTTGGCCTTACAACGGCATTGGCTAAAGCCCCTAAGAGTGAGATGTTCGTCGACGAGGTAGTCATCGGCGACCGTTAGGCCGGGGCCTATTATAACACTTGCTCGACTAGGAACTCATTAGTCGTGCGTGCATTGAGAGGCTGTGCTTACAGGGGCAAGTGTAGCGCCTGAGTCGACCTGTGCCAACAAACAGCGCATGGTAGTCCGTGACTACCTACATAACGTTGAGTGTTGTTTCCCGTAAGCGAGAGGGGAACTGAGACATCGCGTTTCGTTCCTAGTGAGCGATGATCTCCCTATGGATATCTTGTTAGGTATGTACTATCTCTCCGTTGCACAGCCCCAGTTTGACTCGGACCGAAAAGTGGTCAAACACACTTTGTCAGGAGGGGGAACCGCCAGATTACGTAAGTTTAAAGCTAGTAGTCTGATTGAGTCCTACGGATGCATGTGTGCGGCCGCATTTTCTAACTATTATAAGCAAAATCCAGAGGAGGGTATGTATCTAGTCTATGTCTCTGCAGCAGGCGAGCCGGTGAAAATGTCGCCGGAGATAGAGGGAGTAGTGCTAAATACCCTGATCTATTTGAAGAGACGAAAGGGGTTGTTGAGAGGGAGGTCATCCATGCAATAGAGATTATCCCAGGGTCTAGCATCCCGAAGGGTAGGATCTATCGGATGTCGCCAGGCGAGCTTGATGAGCTTCGCCGGCAACTCAAGGAACTCGTAGAGAGGGTTGGATCCGACCGAGTGTCTCCCCTTACGGATCCCCAGTTTTATTTGTGCCAAAGAAGGGGGGAACTCAGAGGATGTGCATTGACTATAAGGCCTCCATGCCATCACTGTCAAGAACCGAGAGCCCCTACCGCGCATTGATGACTTGCTAGATAGAGTGTAAGGGTGTCAGTACTTCAAAAAGATAGATCTGAAGTCCGGGTACCATCAGATTGCAATCCGGCCTGAGGATCAACACAAAACCGCATTTCAGACCAGGTACGGTCTGTACGAGTTTGTGGTGATGCCTTTCGGCCTCTGCAATGCTCCTGGCACCTTTCAGCATGCTATGAATCGGATCTTTCGTAACTACTTGGATAAGTTTGTCATCGTGTATCTCGATGCCATACTTATTTTTAGAAAGACTGTTGAGGATTATGTTGCACACTTAGACAAAGTCCTCATTCTCCTTCGGCAGCACAAGTTCACGATCAACGGGGAAAAATGCGAGTTTGGTCGCACCCGGATCTTGTACTTGGGTCATGAGATTTCCGCGGAGGGTTTGAAGCCCGATGACGCGAAGGTGGCCAGCATTCTTGACGGGCCGCGTCCTCAGTCTGTTACTGAGATGAGGTACTTCTTAGGGATGGCGGATTACTATCGCAATTTTGTGAAGAGCTATAGCATAGTGGCCGCCCCTTTGATTGACCTGACTCCCCTTGACACCCCATGGGAGTGGACAGACAGGTGCGAGGCTGCTTTCAGACATCTGTCAATTATGAGCTTTTGCCATGTTTTTATTTGGTGGAACTCGTGATGCAATTCTGCTATTGGTTCGAGGTCACGACTATCTGGTCTCATGTGTATGATGCGGTTTGATTTCCGAAGTTCACTATTGCTCATTTTCCTTGCATAACTGCCAATTCACAAAAAAAAGAATTCTGGAATTCCTTCTTTAATACAGATTCGTTGTTTTTTTTTTTTCACTACACAACAATTGAGGATGAATTTTCCGTTGGAACATGGAAAGATGCACTATCATCATTTTTTTTGTCTTTTGTGCACTGCCATCATTTTTGTCTTTTGTGCATGTTGTGAGTGGCGGAGCGAGGCTGTTGCATATTGTAACGTGCAGAACAAGAACCGACCTCTCAATACAAAGTACAAGATAACACAGCGGAAGACTTAGATACCAGTGATCCGGACAATCAAGATTGCAATGCAGCCCTGAACATACATCAGCATCATCGTTACATGGTGTGAATGGGGTCTGGCGCTTCACACAGGAAGACTGCGCCAGCCCCTACCATACACAGACGAAGTAGAAGGGGTTAGACGAAGAGGAGGGGAAAGATAGGAATGTCGTCAACACCAAGTCTACGGCACAGGCCCAAATAGTCCCTCGTCGAAATGTCTGAATCCCAAAGGTCAAGTCTGGATCCAATGTCGTAAGTCTCAAGTCACAACTCTGTCTCTCTCTGTCGTAGTCTGAGAAGTCAGGTGGTGAGAGGGTGAGAAGAGATGGTGGACTTAGAAGAGGAAGANCAGAACAAGAACCGACCTCTCAATACAAAGTACAAGATAACACAGCGGAAGACTTAGATACCAGTGATCCGGACAATCAAGATTGCAATGCAGCCCTGAACATACATCAACATCATCGTTACATGGTGTGAATGGGGTCTGGCGCTTCACACAGGAAGACTGCGCCAGCCCCTACCATACCCAGACGAAGAAGAAGGGGTTAGACGAAGAGGAGGGGAAATATGGGAATGTCGTCAACACCAAGTCTTCGGCACAGGCCCAAATAGTCCCTCGTCGAAATGTCTGAATCCCAAAGGTCAAGTCTGGATCCAATGTCGTTAAGTCTCAAGTCACAACTCTGTCTCTCTCTGTCGTAGTCTGAGAAGTCAGGTGGTGAGAGGGTGAGAAGAGATGGTGGACTTAGAAGAGGAAGAAGAAGMACTCTCTCTCTCTCTGTGTCYAGTACTAACCTGTGAAGTTGGTGCCTTGATGCAGGTACCTCGCAGATGGAGCTGGAGCGATGGCGCCACAGGTAAGTACCACTGGCCTCCGCCAGTGTCTCTCCCAACTCTACTATCTACCACCTACCAGCGCCCAACGCTGAAGACTACTGCTATGGCTATGGGCGCCCAGCGCCAAAGACTACAGCTAACGCTGAAGACTACTGCCTACCGCTGAAGACTACTGCAGCACTCCTCCTGAGTGCTGCGGCCGAATCCTGAAGACTACTCGTGCCTACTGACAACTACCTCCCCGTGAAGTGCATGGGAACTTCCTATGTACTACCAGGTGCCTCCTGACTGCAGGCGAGGCAGTCCAGGAGGCTGCTCTTGCCAATGCCTACGGGAGGCAGGGGCTGCAGCTGCAGCTCCTGCTCGAGCTGGCGTGGGGAACATGCTATTTCTGGCCTGTTCCGAAACCCTGTTTTTGTGCCTGAGTCTTAGGTAGGTCGAACACAATGAGGGCCTGAAAATGGCCCTCCGTTTCAGGCTGAAAAGCCTCTGGGCCTGAAAGGCCCGGAAATAGGCTGAAACGGAATAGGGCCTGCAGACCCTCGTATTTCAGCTTTCAGGCTGAACGACGGGGGCCTGTAAGCCCTAAGTTTTAGGCTTTTAGGCTGAAAGTGCGGGACGGGCCCTGCAGGGCCCGTGTGGCTACGCAGTATGCCACACCCCCCTCTCCTTGAAAGACCGAGCTTACCTGCGAGGGCGAAGCTGTCTGTCTGAGGGAGGGACCACAGTCCGGGTGGGAGGGGCAGGTCGTGGGGGTCCCTTGGCTAACCTTTGACACTCGTAGTGAGCGTAGATCAGCGGTGCGGATGCTTTCAAATCTGCTCCTGAAATCCACCGACTGTCGTCGGGATCGCATGCTATGAATGTAACTTTGTACTGTCGCGGCTTGCTGCCGTACTTGCGATCCAAGACGACGCGGTCGACCTCCTGATGACCATCCATAGATGGAGGGTCCTGCGATCGTCTGCCCGGGAAGTCATCGCTCTTAGCTGGTGTATATGTTGCCAGCCTTGATGCGTGAAAGACTGGATGGACCGTCAGATGCTCGGGAATGTTGATCACAAATGAAGGGCCATCGGGCTCATCGCCCGCGGCTGATGTCACAGACCATGGTCCAAACCACTTGGGAAGCAGTTTGCGTGAAACATCCTGTTCCAGTGCAAACTCTTCCGCGGAGACCTAAACCAGATCACCGGCGTGGATGGGACATGGTACGCGACGCCTGTTGGCTTGCTGCTGCATGCGGACTTGAGCCTTTTGCATGTTCGCGCGGGCTTAAGTGAGCAATTCCCTGTACTTCCGGACGGAAGCGGGAGAGCAAGCAACGTCCATGTCGGCTGGTCGAGGGAGGAGAAGGTCGGCGAAGATCTGGCCTTTCCGTCCACCGTGGTGCAACTCGAATGGAGTCACGCCGATCGCCAAATGCACCGAAGTGTTGTAGGCGAACTCGATGTCGGGGAGGCAGTCAACCCAATCTTTCTGGTCCGGACGGATGAGCGTACGAAGCATCATTTGAGCGGTTTGATGTGCCCGCTCTATTTGCCCGTCCGTCTGTGGATACCGAGCCGAACTTGGTTTCATCTTTGTGCCGGACTCCTGCATGAGAGCAGTCCAAAAAGCTGACATGAAGCGAGTGTCGCGGTCGCTGACAATGTCTTCTGGTACACTGTGGCCACACATCAACCCGTGTGTAGGAGGCATGCCAGCTCGGGAGCCGTGGAGTAGTACTTGCAAGGAAGAAAACGCTCGTACTTACTCAATCGGTCCACAACCGTGAGAATGTCGTCGTGCCTGAGCGGGCCGAGCCGGTCGCGAGGGTACGGATCGGTGACGTCCATGGCAATGGAGAGACCGAGTTCCCGTGGGATAGGCATCGGGCGTAACTCGCCATAGGGATTGCGGTTGCAGGGTTTGCTGCGTCGGCAAACTTCGCAAGAGTCGCAATACCGAGTGACATCAGTAATGAGGTCGGGCCATCGAATCGTTGTCGAAGCCGTGCAATAGTGCGGTTGACTCCGAAATGGCCGGCGAGTCGCGAGTCGTGGTACTCCCCGAGAAGGCGAGTCCGAAGACGACG